GAAATGAATGGCAGCCGCCTTAAAAGCCTAAGCAAATATGCAAACAAGTACATGAAAAATGCAAATGCACTTGTTGCCCGCACCAAATGCAGCAACATGTTGTTGCGTGGCGCTCTTATCACAGACTGCTGTTGTTGTTGCTTTTTTTGTTGCCATCTCTGCTGGATTCAGGGCGGGTTTGTTTACATTTGTATAACGGCTGATTCACAATAATGCCAGAGACGTGCCAAAAGCAAACCTAAAGAAAAACTTGGCATAGCGAACAAAAAGAAGGAAAAAAAATGAAATAAAAACAAAACTAAGCTGGGAAACATGAGCAAAATTAGAGCACACACGGGGGCCACATATGCATGCGCGCGTTTGGGTGTGTGCGTGTGTATGTGTGTGACACACGTGTTGCACATGCATTGCATTTGCAAAATGCGAGCAACAACAAAGAGCACTGCGGATTAGACACGCACAACGGGCTCACTAGCAGCGGGCAGAGTATTTTTATGCAGACAGCGACTGCGACGGCGACGACGACGGCGGTGGCGACAGCGACAGCGACTGCACAATTTCTGCCAGCCATTTTACACGACACCCCACTTTGACACGCTCACACATTCGCCCTAGCGCTCTTTGTTCGTGTGCATTTGCTCATTTGGCAGTTGTTGCTCTCACAGCGGCGTTTCATTGCCATTTTGTTGCAGTTGGCGCGCAATGCGTTGGCATGTTTAGCGTCTGTGTGTGCGTGTGTGTGTGTGTGCGTGTGTGTGTGTGTATATGCTTGCGTGTGGCTGCAGCATTGTTTGCATTTCAAATTGAATTCCTTTAAAATTCAATTCCTGCGTGTGCGTGTGTTGGCATTTTTGTGCGTTGTGCATCTGCTGTTTTTTCTGTCTCTCTTCTTTGTTGTTTTTCGTCTGCAGTTGTTTTTGTTGCTTTCAATTATGATTGAGCAGCATTTGTCGTACGTTTTGTTGTTTTGGTTTGGCTTAGTTCCTTTGTATGCACACATGCATGCGTATATGTATGTGTTTTTTTTTTGTGAGTGCGTGCGTGAGTTTTCTGGCTTGTCACCCCCAACCCACTGGACACAGCCATTGGGAACAGCAGTGTCTCGCGTAGCGACTCTACACTTTTTGGGCATCTGTTACGCTTGGGATCAGTTCTTAAGCCAAAACTGATCCCAGGCGAAATCGTAGCAAATCTCTAGAAATATGCAAATGAGGGCCGAAGAGAAGCAGTTGAAACGTAGCCGAAGTGTTAAGAAAACAAAAAGCCACAGAAAACAGTGAAAAACACACACACACAAACACAAAATAAGGAAGAAGAAGAGAAGAGGAGGAAGAAAGAAATACAAAAAGCAAAAGGCAAGATTGTGCAAACGAAAACATCAGCTCAGAGCCAAAAACAACAAGCCATACACTGTGCTAAAACAAGGAGAGTAAGCAAAAAATTAACGAAAATTCAAGTCTCTCTTTTTAAAATAAGTGATTCCAATTATACATAAAAGTCAATTGCATATGCTATATATTTATAGGCAAAGCTCTCTTATTACACCTTATCCAATTTTTGATTAGGTAAAACTTTTCTCTCAGTGTTGAAACGGAGTATGTACATTAAGAATTTTCGCTGGTTAGTTGACAATTGTCTTCGTGTGAAGTGCAAATAGATCTTACATGAGATGTTCAGCGCACAAGTACATAGAAAACACACAGTACATGCACACATGTAAGCAAACACACATACATACAAATGCATGCAAAAATTAAAAAACGAGAATAATTGAAGGCTTTCCAACAGCTAACTTCTCCACCCTTATGGACAAGGGGAAACGTGCGGAATTGCAACGATTTGCAAGCTAAGCTTAAAAGTATGTTAATAGCAGCAGAAACGGCAGCGGCGGCAGATAGCATTGTTTTAACTGGGTTCTACATTGGGAATGGATATTTAAGAGAGAATTTTTGGGGTTGTTTTAAGAGTATCATAAATCCGTTGCACTAATTACTTGAATAGCCCCCCTTTTTTTGGTTTTACCTCTTTTGACCCAATAACAAGAGGCTGCAAAGCGATTGCGACTCAACATGACGAACCCAAAAAGAAACTGCGGATATTCATATTTTACATACATATGTATGTACATACTTATGTATATTTTAACACATTCACATACATTTATACATACATGCGTATGTACATATGTATATGAATGACGCTGCCACAAAGTCAACACCAAAATGCCAACACCAACAATAAAAGAGAAAAACAACAACAGCCGAGCAAACTCCAAGCCGGCTTTAGGCAAAAAAAAAAAAAAAAATTAAGAAAAGAAAACAACAACAAATGGTCGCAGGCGCGCAGAGAAACCACAACAAACGGCGCAGCCGCAACGCCGCAGCGCCATACATGCAAAAAGCGACGGGGGAGTGGAATGGGGAAGGAGAGCCAACGGCTTTGGCCCTGAGCCAATGCGAGCGTGACTCATGGGCAGCGCAATATGTTGCGGCGACGTCGACGGCGGCGCCAACGGCTTGCCGGAGTGGCGCTCGCGTTACATAAGCCGAAGCTGAGAGACAAAAACCGAAGCCAAAACCAAAGACGAAGCTTAAACTAAAGATGAAGCTGGCAACACGTCGGCTTAAGCTTATGTTTGTTTGTTCTCACACCCGTTGACGCCCTCTCACTCGCTCTCGCACTCTCGCATAATTAAAAAGTAACGGCGCTGACAATGACAGCTGTACGCGCTCAATTAAAAAGTCATTAACTGCCACACACACTCGTGCACACAGAAAATGAGAGAGGGAGAGCCCGCTATTGGCAGCTAGAGATGGACACTGGACACGCATTAAGGACTAGCTGTGATTGACGCTGACACGCAAGGCCTCTGCCTCTACCCCGACGCAACACACACATACATATACTCACACGCACGCACGCACCTTGTAATTAGAGTTGAGTTAGGCGGCGACGGCGGCCCTACCTGCGCCTGCGCCTGCGCCAGCGCTCTCGCAACTGTTGCGTGTCATAAATGCGCCATAAAACTGCCTAGTCCCGCTGCACACTTGAGCCGGCTGCAGCGGCTGCCGCATCAGCTGTCTAAGCGGGCTTAAGATCACCCACCCCACACGCTGCGCACGCAGCTTTTCGCTGTTCTTCTCTGCTGTTAGACGCTGTCGCGCTGTTATTGTAATTGCTCTTATACTGCTTCTTCTATCTGGCTGCTGCTCCTTGGCCTTGTCTTGCACGCGGCTGCTTTGCTGTTCATTTATTTATATACAGTGGAGATTCGCTATGAAATGCGACGCTTCCATTAATCTATTTGAATTTTTACATTTTGCTACTATTATTTAACAATTTTATTTTTTATATAAAACATATTTCTATCCGATAAATGTACAAGTCCGTAAAAATAAGCTACTTTTTGGCATTGTTTACATTTCAAATTAACACAGAAAGTCGCGTGAACATCCTTCGACACACAGCAGTTGCTCTTAGTCTCTGCCCACTGTACACCAAACACACACAAGCAGAGATTTTTGAAGTTGCGGCCCGTTTTGTTTTTGTTTTTTTCTTTTTCTCTCTCTTACTGTGCCCCTACTTTGGCTCTTCCTCTTCCTCTTCATCGTGCTTCGTCGTCTTCAGCGTCGTCTTCTTTATTGTTTTATTGTCAGTTTAGGGATTTGACAATTTGCTTGCTGATTTTTTATGACAATCATGTATGTAAATTTTCGGCGTGCCTTCTGCGCTCAACTCTTCCTCATGGCCCCCGCAGCCCTAGATGTGCGCTTGTGTGTGTGCTGCTGTATCTGTATCTGAGCGCCATTAGCTGGCATTTGGCTTACGAGATTTTTAAATACTTTTGGGCATATTCAGGCGTCCCAGCCCAAAAAAAAAAAAAAAGAAGTAAACCTTAAGCTCGCACCCGCGCCCGCGCCCGCGCCCTCTACTCGAACCCGAACCCGAACCCTTCGGATGGCTATTTTTAGTTTTTCGCTCTGGCTTTACGCTTGTATTATGTGTATACATATGTGTGTATATTTTTTATGCTGTGCATAAAAGTTGAGTTTATTAATTTTAAAGCGTTGACAAGTTTTACGAGTGCCCTTAAAAGTAGCCACACAAGAACAGAAACTAGGCTAGTAGTGTGAGGCGGACGTGTGCGACTCTTCCGAGTCTGTGAGTCAAGCTGGCTAATAGAGCAGGAATGTGGCCCAATGGAATGGTGACCAATTCAATCAGATCGAAATGCCTGCCAAGCAGCTGTTTCAAGTTTGTTTTCTTCGCTTGGTAAAACTTTTCTTTTTGTTTCTTAGCATTTCTTCGTCAATGTGGTGCGAATCCGTGCATCAAATCACTTAGCAATTACAAAGCCATTCAAAACAAAGCCAAAACAATTTGTTCCATTTGCCTAGCAGTGCTACGAGCCGAGTTACATGGGGTTAGTTGTTTCAAGCCGGGTCTTGAAAACAGTTTGGGGCCGCATCATCGCCAAGAAATGGCCAAATAGAGCTGAGTGCTTTTAGTTTTGCGTTTTTTCTTCTTTGATTCGCAAAAGCAAAATAAATAAATTATAAAAAGCAAATCAAATGCAAAAAAAAAAAAAATAAAATAACAACAATGCAAAAACAGCCAGCGTTGGCAAAGCAAAAACAAATGCAGCCACAGAAAGAGACAGCAAAAGCGGCGGCGGTGACGGCGACGGCGGCCGCGACAGCGACGTAAGCGAAAACACAAAACGCACGGCACATAAATGCTGTTGCTGCTGCTGCTGCTGCTGTCGCCTTTGTTGCTGTACATAGCACACACACTCACTCACAAACACACACGCACGCAAGCCCAGCAGCGACAGCGACGCGAGCAGCGACCACTGCGCTGCTGCTTCTATGCGCGCATATGTGTGTGCGTAAGTGTTTGCTTCTGCCGCTGCTGCCTCGGCTGCGGCAGCGGCTGCGGCTGCTGCTGCTGCCAGAATGCCGCATGCACGTCGGTCATTTGTATTTGGAAACACAATTCCGTTCCGTCATTTGTATTTGGAACGCCGTAGCAGAAAGAAGGACACGAGCGAATAAGCGACGAAGCGTGCGAACGGAGTGGAGCGGCTATTTTAGCTTTTAGCGCCCTTTTTTGTTTCATTTTCTTTGTACATGTAAAATATAAAAAAAATACAACATACGGCAAAAATCAACAACATTTTTGGCAACATTTTCGGCAAAATACCCAAAAACTATTTCGGACTTAAACACAAAAAAACGAAAAACTAAAAACTAAAAAACGAGAAAATTCTAAAAGAAAAACACTAAAAAGTTTTAACAATTAATAACCGCGTTTTGTATTGTTTTCCATTGTGTTCGTAAACATTTTTTTCTGTTGTCACAAAACCGACTACAACAAAAAAAAAAACAAAAAACAAATCTAACATAAAAGTGATCTTGGTGTGAACATAATGTAATGTAACCGAAAAGTATGAATATCCACAAGCTAAAAGAAAACGGTCGAAAAAACTAACCGGCGAACAGCAGGCGAAAGCGAAACGAAATTGTTTTCGCGCTCGCAAAATCAAAATTCTAAATTCGAACACACGCAAAAAAAAAAAAACACTTATCCCAACAGTTCTTCGTTTCGGTTATTTTTTTATGTTATTATTCTTCAGTTGTTTTGTGTTTCGGTGAAGTAGAAGAAGAAGAAGCAGCCGAGAGAGCAGCAAGCCGCTAAACACAATAACTGCACAAAGCAAAGGCGCAGATAAGTAAGCAAAAGCAATAACAAGATCAACAGCGACGAAGATGGCGATGGACAGACATAATGTTGATGATCATCAACCACCACCATCATCATCATCATCGTCGTCGTTTTTGCCAATCAAATTCATAATTGTTATGTAGTTGTATATATATACATTTTTTTTTTCAAGTGTGTGTGTGTGTGTTTGAATGCAAAACTATACGAACACTATGAACACAAAGAAATGTGAAAGCAACCGCAGCAAGAGCAAACGCAACCGCAGCTGCATTTCTAAGAGAGCGCAATGTTAACGCAAAAAAAAAAAAATTAAAATAACTCTCAGCACATGTAAATTTGGCATGCCTTGTATATGTTTTTTTTCTTTTTTTTTTTTTAATGAACAGTGATAAGCAAAAGCTGCAGCTGCGACTGCGTTGAATTCTGCTGCCGCTGATACTCTTAAGCGATCAGCATGCACGCGTTTTTTCTCTCTCTCTCCCGTGCACAAAACAAAGAGAGTGACCGTCTTTTTGTTTTGTGAACTAAAGAACATGCAAAAAAGCCAAGAGGCGAACCGTTAGCTGAGAGCGCAAGCAGTGTGTGTGTGTGTTAGTTAAATAAACTTTTAAATAAATTGAAATGGGAATTAATAATTAAATTACATCAACATTTTTACAGTACAAATACCAAATACATAAAAACAAAAGCTAAATCAAAACTAAACCAAACGAACGGCAAAGCAGCCAACGAAAAAAAAAACAACAACAAAACAACTAGAACAACAGCAACAAATAAAACAAGAGCAGCTGCAGCAGCAGCAACAGCAACAAGAACAACAACAGCTAGCAACAATTAACAAGCGAGCCACATGAGCAGCAGCGCGACGCCAACGCCGACGCAGACGCCAACGCCGACGACTTATGTAGCGTTACATGGCGAGCATAAAAAGTGAAATGCCGCCACTGCACGCGGCAGAGGCGCTAGCCGCCAGCAGCAGCAGCAGCGCAACGGATAGCGGCGGCGGCGGCAGCACAGCAGCAACAGCAGCAGCAGCAACAACAGCAGCAGCAACAACAGCAGCAACAGTTGCTGCTGCTTCTGCTGCCGCTGCTGGCTCTGGCGGCAGCGCGCCCGCAACGCCGAATGCCAATGCAACAATCAGCGCCGCTGCCGACTCCAGTGATAATCAGCCGGGCACGCCGCAGCCAGCAACACAACAGCAGCAGCAGCAACAACAACAGTCGCTAATGGCTGCCGAGGCACAGCAGCAACAACAGCAACAACAACAGCAGCAGCAGCAGCAGGCGTCGGGCATAACGCATCAGCCCTATGCGACCCATCACATGTACCCAGCGCAGCAGCAGCAGCAGGTCTATGGCAGCATCTATGCCAGCGACATGCAGCAGCAACAGCAGCAGCAGAGCTATGCCGCCAGCAGCTACATCAACAGCTACGAGCAATTCTATCAGCAGCAGCAGCAGCAGCAGAGCGCCGTCGACTATGGCAGCGCGTACATTGACTACACGAAAGCCGTGCGCTATCATCCGTATTTGCAGCAGCCCACCTCTGTGCTGCCAACAGCAGCTGTTGCCACAGGAGCAACAGTTGCTGCCGTTGAGGACGCCGCCGCAGTGGCGGCGGCAGCAGCAGCAGTGACAACAACTGCGGCAGCAGCTGGCGCTGCGATGAGTCCGCGCGTGGTCAGCAGCAGCAGCCCCACCTCCACCTCGTCGCATCTGCAGCTGAGCAGCGCCACGCCCAGTTCGCCGGGAGGCGGCTGCAAGCTGCAGTGCAAGAAATGCGGCATACTCAACACCAACGAATCCGAGCTGCAGGAGCACATTGCCAATGTGCACGGCGAGTCGCCGTACGGCAGCAGCGGCTACGCCAGTTCGCCGTACATCAAGGAGGAGATGCCGATGCCGACGCCGACAGCGGTGGCAGCAGCAGCAGCTGCGGCGGCGGCAGCCAGCGGCGAGCTGCTCGACTTGGACTCCCAGAAGATGGTCTATCATCAGCAACTGTTGCAGCAGCAACAACAACAACAACAACAACAACAGCAGCAGCAGCAACAACAACAGCTGCAGCAGCAGCAACAACAACACGATGCAGTTGTCTCCGGGCTGCCGTTGGCGTTGCCAGATCCGCTGCACTCGATGCAGTCGATGCAGCAGCGCGCACTGCACAGCTGGGAGCAACAGGCGCCGCCAGCGGAGGCGGGCCTGCCTGCGTACATGCAGCCGCTGCTAGACAAGTCGCCGCATTATTACGGCTCGCCAAAGCAATCGCCGTATCCGGCGACGGGCGGCATTAAACAGGAATATGCGCTGATCAAATCCGAATATGCCGACTCGCAGCACTATGTGGATAAATCGTTTGATCCGACCTCCGCGGAGGTGACCACCAGTCCCGCCGAGTTTCCCAGCACGACAACGGGCGGGGCACAGGATGGCGGCGTCGGCGGCAATGGGTCCGGCAATGCGGCGCCGTATCGCGGCTTTGAGCCGCCCAGCTCCAGTTCGGTGCTGCCGGCCAACAGTCTGACCGCCAAGGCGGCCACCTGGAAGTCGAATGAGGCGCGTCGCCCGAAGACCTACAACTGCACCGCCTGCAACAAGTGGTTCACCAGCTCGGGCCATCTGAAGCGCCATTACAACACGACGCTGCACAAGAATGCGGTCAAGTCGAGCGGCCAGCCCGATCCGGCCACGCTGCCCATATCTGCCCATCATCATCCCGCACGCGATCCCGTCACGAAGACCAGTCGACGCGGCAATGCTGCAGCCGCAGCGGCAGCAGCAGCCGCCGCAGCCGCCGCAGCAGCAGCAGCAGCGGCTGCTGCTACACAACAAGAGCCGCCAGCGCCGGAGCCGCCCAGAAGTCCGCCCGATTATGGGGGCGGCGGTGTTTGTGGGGCGACGGGCGTGCAGGTGGGCGCCGCCATGTCGCAGTACTCGGCCTCGCCGTCGCCCACCGCCCAGCAGCAGCAGCAATTGGTTGCCGGCAATGGTTATGCTAGCAATGGGCATGGTCACGCCCACTATCATGGCCACTACAACATGCAGCAGCAGCAGCAGCAACAAGTGCAATCGACGACAAACGCTTCACCACAGCATGCTAACAGCAGCAGCAACAACAACAGCGGCAACAGCAGCAGCAGCAGCAACAATCACAACTCCGTTTTGAACGGTCACCCAAACGGGCTAGCAGGTCCCTCCGCCCCAATCAACAACAACAACAACAACAACACACAAATGCCGTCCTCCCAAATGAGGGGCCTGCTGAACAAAACAACAATCAACAACACAACAACAACAACAATAGCCACAGACACAACTATAAAGATCGAACAAATGGAGGACAGCAACTCAGCAATGGTCATGGAGGAGCAGCTGGAGGAGCAGCAGCAGCAGCAGCAGCAACACGTGTTACAGCAGCAACATCACCCACTGGAGCAGCAGCAGGTCAGCTATCTGCTGTCGCGGCCATATCACAGCAGCAGCAGCAGCAGCAACAACAGCAACAGCAACTCGCCGCTTACTATTTACCACCACCACCAGCACCAGCAACAGCTGCCGCTGCAGCAGCAGCAGCTGCAGCCGCCGCCGCTGCTGCAGCAGCAGTTGGAGCTGGACCAGCAGCAGGAGCTGCTGCAGCAGCAGCAGCAGCAGCACCACCACCACCACCACCACCAACTGTTGCAGGCAATGGATTTCTCGCGCACCCAGCCGCTGCTGCCGCCGCCGCCTATGGCAGCGCTGCTGCCGCCTATAACAATGGACTACAACATGCTGGCTTTGGATATGCAGCAGCAGCACAGCAATATGCTGCAGTGCAGCAGCATCAGCACGCAGCAGCAGCCGTCGCTGCCGGTCACTATTACCACCACGCACACGCCCACCCTCACGCCCATCCACACGCACACGCCCATCCACACGCCCACCACCACGCCCACGCCCACGCACACGCACATCAATATGGACATGGGATGCACCACTATGCAGGCGCAGCATTACCTGGCACCACAGCCGCTGTCGCCGCCGCAGCAGCAGCAGCAGCAACTGTTGCTGGTGGACAACAACAGCAGCAGCAGCAGTACGGCCAGCAGCCATACGCCCAACAGCATCAGCAGCAGCAGCAGCAGCAACATCATCAGCAGCTCAGTAGCAGCAGCGGCAGCAACAGCATCGCCTCCGCCGCCGCCGCAGCAGCGGCAGCAGCAGCCGCCGCACATCATCACCAGCAGCAGCAGCAGCAACATCACCAGCAACATCACCAGCAACCACACCAGCAACAACAGCAGCAGCAACATCTCCAGCAGCAGCAGCAGCAACAACAGCAGCAGCAGCAACAACAACACCCTGCCATGCTATCAGCAACTGCCGCCGGTGCTGGAGCACACAATGAGCTATCACACTATTATTGGTAACGAGCCGGGCGCCTATGATGCCTACACCAGCGATGGCCATCAGATATTGCAGCTGATGCCCGCCTCGCTGTTTGCGCCCTATGCCCCCCTCTCGCCCTATTCGGTGGCCGCACAGCGTTCGCCGCAGGAGGGCGACTTGCCGCCGGTGCATACGCTGACCAATGCGTTGCAGGCACAGCAGGAGGCGCAGCAGCAGCAGCATCAACACCATCAACAACATCACCAGCAGCAGCAGCATACAACTTTAACGCTGTTGGCCACGCCCACACCGTATTCGCCCACAGTAAGCAGCTCGCGTGCAACACCAGCCCTCGAGCTGGACATGGTGTCGCTGATGGCACAACAGCAGCAGCAGCAGGAATATGAGCAATATCAACTGCAGCAGCAGCAACTCGAGCAGCAGCAGCATCAGCTTGAGCAGCAACAGCTCGAACAACTGCAGCAGCAGCAGCAGCAACAACAACAGCAGCAACAACAACAACAACAGCAAATGCAACAAACTGTTGCCGTGCTGCCCAAAAAGCGACGTGCTGCTGCTGCACTGTCAGCGGCAGCAACAACAGCAGCACAGCCGCCGAGCAAGAGACGTCGCAACAGCAGCATCGGGTCGACATCGCCACACTCGACAACATTGCCATCGGGTCGCATCAAGTGCCTGGAATGCGACAAGGAGTTCACCAAGAACTGTTACCTCACGCAGCACAACAAGAGCTTTCACTCCGGTGAGTATCCATATCGTTGCCAGAAGTGCGGCAAGCGTTTCCAGTGCGAGGAGATCTATACCACGCATCTGGGCAGGCATCGCACCCAAGACAAGCCGCACAAGTGCGAGCTGTGCCCCAAGCAATTCCATCACAAGACCGATTTGCGGCGCCACGTGGAGGCCATCCACACGGGCCTCAAGCAGCACATGTGCGATATATGCGAGAAGGGCTTCTGTCGCAAGGATCATCTGCGCAAGCATCTCGAAACGCACAATCGCCCGCGTGTTGTTGGCAAAAAGGCGGCAGCTGTTGCCGCTGCTGCCGCAGCAAAGGCTACCGCAGCGGCGGCAGCAACAGCCGCCGCCGCAGCAGCTGCTGCGGCAGCAGCAGCAACAACAACAACAATTGCGAGGCAAACAGTTAGTTGCATGCAACCAGGCAATAAGCTGGACGATGTGGCCGCTGACGATGATAGTTTGCTAGACGACGATGATGAGGACGATAATGATGCACAGCAGCAACAGCAGCAGCAGCAGCAGCAACTGTTGCTGAGCGGGGAGCATCATTTGATCAAAAACGAATTTGTTGATATTAAGCACGAGTACGAGGAGGAGTTTACGGAGGAGTTTCAAATTATTGAAAAGGACATTGAAATGTATTGAGCGCAGGGGTTCGAACTGGGCATAGTTATACATATACATATACATACATATATATATATATGTATGTATATATGTAGGTAGAGCAGGGGGTGTGGGGCTTTGGGTGGGTCTTGGGTCATAAAAGGGGTGGGGCTTGTCTGCAAATGCTCGAGGCTTTGAAAACTGTTTCTGTTCTCTGGTTTTTGTGTATTTCATTTCATTTTAAATCCTAGCACAAAACTTTTGGTAACAACTTTTTATTGCACCTGCGGCAATAAATTGTTATTAATTTGTTTTTCTTTTTGTATTTTGTTTCTTGTGTTGCAACCAATTTTTATTGCACTTGCAGCAATAAATTGTTTTACTTGCATTTTGATCAAAGCCTTTAGCCTTTGCAGACACGCCCACTCAGCACAGCTGTAATTAACTAAACTTTTGCCATATATGAGAAAGAAAAACAAACAAAAAACACACACACAACTATAACTATGAAATATTTAACTATATAAATATATATATATATATATTTATATATCTATTTTTTTGTATTCGAAATTCCTAATTGTTGTAGCAGCAAATTTAATTTAATGACAAACAAATTTATGTTAAATTGTATTATTATTATTAATTATGAATTAATTATTGTATTATTTCTTGTCTTAGTATTTTGTAATTTTTTTTTAATTAACCTTTTTTTTTTTATTGTTTGTATAATTAACTTTTTAAGGCCGCGCATACCTCAAAGACAAGTAGAGAAACGAAAAGAAAAGAAAAGAAAAGAAAAGAAAAGAAAAAACGCTTAAAGAATGCAACACACACAAACACAAATCAGGGCAGAACCATATATCTATATATGTCTATATCTATATATATATATATGATAACTGTAACATTATAGGCAACTATCGTATATGTTAGCGCACAATTTAGTTGATTGTTTTTTTTTTTTTTTTTTTAATTAATTAAAATTAGTTGTTGTTTTTCTGTCAGCCTGTAAACCATAAACTCGAATGCCATATATAAATATGTAATGCCAATTGATATATAGCTATATACTATATATATATATATATACATAGGTAACACTAGCCTACAAAACGCCAAATTGTCAGCAAAAAAATGAAAACAAAACAAAAACGCAAATATCAGGGATAATATTTACACTTAACAGTTATAGTTCTTACATAGAGACAGACGTATATATATATATACATATATATATATATATATAGATAATTATATATATATATATATATATGTATATGTAGAAATTGCGTATTATATATATTTATTATCATTAATTTCTAATTTATGCATTTCTTTTGTAAGCCACAAAAATAAACGAAAAATAATCCATTTATATTTACATTTTTTTCGTTTTAATTTTCTTATAAGTTAAAAAATTGATAATTTTTTAATAATTTGCCTTAACGTAATACTCAAAACAAAAAGGAATACAAATTTGCCATTAGCTTTATGTTTATTCATGTTAAAACCAATTTTTTGAATGCACAAAACAAAAAACTTCCTTAAAATTTGCTCCATATTTTTATATAGTTTATACACATAATTTCTTATTATTAAATTTATATAAATATGTACGTCTTTTTTTTTTTTGTGTGTAACTAGCGCAACAAATTTTTTAACTACTTATATATATATATATATTTAGATATTAGAATTAAAAAGAGCGCAAAGCAAAAAGAAAAGACAAAGACAAAGGAATGCGCGAAGAGGCAGAGGCAGAACGGAAGAAAGACGGAGACGCGTACCAAACCAAGATCTATAAAAAAGCAAAATAAATTATTGAAAATGTTTCAAACCAAAAAAAAAAAAATCACACAACTTTATAATTTTTCTTATTTCTTTTGTTTATTTCTGGTATGCATTTGTTAAATATTATTTTTTTCAGTTTATTATAAATATTTTTTATGATTTTTATTTACAGTTTTTGGTTTCATTTCTGAAGGAACAGAACAAGTCCATTTATCAAGTCCATGCTTTTTCGCATACTCTTCCAGTGTGGGGTCTTTCCAACCACGTGACGTTTATGGCGTCGAGTAGTTTGGTTCTTTTGCAAAACATGCAGTTAAACATGTCTCTCCGATCAGATCTTAACAACTAAACGAACTGAATCTGCGCTTGAGCCAAGCACTCGAAATTTGGTACAGATCTGACCTGGGCTAGCACAAGGCTATATATACTGTATATATATGACTATATCATTTGATTCTTGCTAGAAAACTACATTATATACATATGGAAAAACAATCATGTTATTCTAGAGAAAAAGCCTTAACTTTTAGATATTAGGCAGATTTATCAAAGGGCTTTAAGAGAATTATATCTGGCCGATTCTGCTGAGCTACAAAAAGAAAGCTCTGATTGGCTTCTTTTATATATATTGTATATATATATAGGTATAGATGTGGTATATATGAAGGTATATATATATATATATATAGATATAGACATAGTAAACACAAAGGTGTATATATATGTATAGGTATGTGTATAGTTTATACACTTAGTTGTATGTATGTGTGTATACATCTAGGTATATGTAGGTATAGGTATAGCCATATATATGTATGCCTATATATGCACAAAGTAAGGGCATTTAAAAGTCGCTCAGCTGCGCGTCGGTCGTGCGCTGAACTTCTTGTTAATTTTGTTAATTATTTTTGTTGAAATTTATTTTTGTATTTTGTTGTTGTTGCTGCTAGTTCCAAAGAAACTACGTGCGTGTGTTTAAATATTATTTTATTTTTTTTTCTTGTTTTTTTTCCATACGAAAGTCGAGACGCAGGCAAATTGTGGCAAGCCGAATTTTAGCGACGCGCCGTTGATCGTTCTGCAAGAGAAAGACATGTGCACGTGTAAGCACATATACACATACACACACATGTGTGTGTGTGTGTGTGTGTGTGTGTGTGTGTGTGTGTGTTTATAGATAGTTATGTATATGCTTATATATGGCGAATTCGGTTCCTTGTGGCACAACAACGACAACATAGAGCATAGGACAGCTGCAGCCAAAAGCTTGAGATAGTTTGCTAGCTAGGCTCTAGTTCTGGCATATATATATATATATATATATATATATATATGTGTGTGTGCTTAATATATCTTTTTGTACTTCTCTGGTAACTGGCTGTGCGCTTTATGGCGACATCTAAGTGCCTCGGCAACAAATCATAAGCAGCAAGCAAAGTATCTTTGTATCTGTATCTGGCAAATGCCAAAAAAAAGAAGAAAGAAATGAAATGAAAAAAACATGAAAACCAAAGACAACGCTAGCAACATAACACGCACACATGTGGCCAGCTGCCTGTCTCTGTGTGTGTGCGTGTGTGTGTGTGTGTGTGTGTGCAGGAACAGCAGTAAATAGCCAAAAAAAAAAGTATATACACACACAGGCGCAGCAAAGACAAAGTAGAAGAGACAAACGAAATGTGCGCGCCACAGCAAGCGGCAGCAGCAGCAGCAGCACGAAGCACGCAGCGAGTGTATCTCAAAGATACGCAAACAGCCAAGCGACGCGACGCGACGCCGAAGTTGAAGTTGAAGTTGCGCGCCTGCGCAGCAGCGACGGCAGCGTCGGCAACGTCTCCGACTATGGCTATGTCATCATAACATACAACGTCGTCGTTGCCGTTCGTTGTTGTCGTTTGTACACTGCGCGAAAGGATCTAACCAAAATTGAATTTGCTTCAAATTATCTGCTAACGAGCATATATTTCTTCCATTTAGCTAGGCTCCAATTGTTTTTTTTGCCATTTCTGTCGAGCAAAATCCAGAAAAAACCTATTTTTTTTTTTGGCTCTGTTAATGTTCATAAATAATCTATTTGAGAACCCTTCAAATAGCACCGATTTTGTATGATCTTTGAGCAAGGAAGCATAGATATAGCATAACTATATAAATCCTTAAAATAGCACAGATTAAATATGTTTCTTGAGCCCGGCTTTCGCTCTGGGCTGGCACAATCTGTTCCCATATAGAGTTCACATTCTCAAACAATCAATATATCTATATCTATATCTAAATCTATATCTATATCTATATCTATATCTATATCTATATCTTTATCTATATCTATATCTATATCTATATCTATATATCTATATCTATATCTATATCTATATCTATATCTACATATTTCATATCTATATCTATATCTATATCCATATAAACCCTTTAAATAGCACAGATTCAGCTTGCTTTCAACAGCAAAGTGTGTCGAATCCTTCTTCTCATTTATCATTTGCCTTACTAACACTTCCTTTGATTGGCTTACATGTGCAGATGCCACAAATTTCGTTCAGTGTATTCGTATCTGTGAATTTCTACTTGCTGCTGACGCTGCTTCTGCCC